AGGAGGAAATCTCCGACAATATATTTTTTTTAACCAGTGTTACTGATTAGCTAAATAGGTTTCTTCCTTATAAGTGTTAATAAAATAACAGAAAATAAATGAATTGTACCAAAAAAAGATAATATTTTGAGTCAACGGAAGATAAGTTTGGATTTAAGTTCAGAGCTTTCTTGAGGAATAAAAAATATAACATGTAACAATCTAAAAGCTTAAATGCGCAAATACCGTAAATTTATTTATACTCTGTATTTGTATAACAGTAGTTAATTTTTTTTATATTTTTTTGTAAGTCATTTAGATGTTATTGAGAGACGCAACTAAATCAAGAAATGCAGGGAAAATGTTTCCAAATAATGTTACATTTCTAACTGAACAAAATGGTAAACGGAACTTAAAGGGTTTGTAAAGGTACCACACTCGCAAAAACAATATGTGTCAAATTTAATGGTAAACCATACGCGTACTTTGGAATCTACACGACACATGCATCACAGAAGAAGACAATGGTTAGAAAAGGACGGCATGTATTTTCTGTTGGAAAATTTAATGAAATAAATATAAAGCTAAGTTCGGAGAGGTAAAGTTTTGACATTTTGACAAATTTTCAGCATAACAACATTTTGTTACCCTTGCCTTATCATAGTGTATATAATTTCTCTGCGGGAGATATTATCCTTGGTTATTTATAAAAGCAAGATTGCAATGCAAGAATTACTTTTTACTCTTCATAAACGCCGTTTCAATATAGGTTTTTAAATTGAAGGCCGTTATATTTATTCTATTGTGTGCTATTAAAAGCTTCCTACTTAGCTTCTTATCCATTTTGTGTTCGTGAAAGGCATATTTTGGTATACCGGATATCCCTTAATCGGTTGTTAATTCTATTTCTATTCTATATTTATTCATCAAGCATTATTTATAGGAATTAAAATATACGAGGTATAGGTAATATCAGTTTTAAAGAAATCAGGCAACCAAAATAGTGTGTAAGATATGTAATTTATCCACCGATCCAGTATCCAAATTTTAAGCTGCTAAGGGGGGCTTTACAAATATTATATTCTATTCAGCCCCTATTCTTGGATATCGTCTTGCCTGGATTAATTGGTCTCTCGTGCACAATTGGTGTCGCGTTAGTGTTTATATTCTAAATAAAAAATGTTAAAATTATTGAATAATAAATATGACACTAATTAAACATTAAAAATTAAAAATGTTTCAATTTAACACAATAACAAACACAACTTTAAAGAGTTTCATTTGACTTTTTTCCAATGCGATTATTGAAATCGTGCGCTTTTCAACACTTCCCAAAAATTATTAACAATAAAAATGGAACGGCCATTTGGCAGTGAATTTATTTTTTTTATTTTATTTTAGCTCTAATTTCTCTGATACTGAAAGCTAGTATGAAAAGCTTAGATGTCAGACTCGCAGGTACAAAGTGATTCTTACTCGGAAAGTTCTTTAAGAAAGTATCTCTTTAATGCCATCGAGCATTTCTATTAATCGTGAATCCATTTATATTTTTTTTCTACTCCGGTCTTCAAAATTCCCAATTATACGCTAGGGTGTGGAAAGTGTCTTTTTGCGAAGATAGTTTCGTTTCCTATCGCTGCGGGCCACTTCGGATATTTCCGGGATATTACCACACGGTTTTGCGAGCAATCGGATGTTTTTGGAGATATTAACTATGGCTTGAATTTTGTCAATCGGTCAGACAGTGAATGTATTCATTTGGTTTTGCAAAAATGTACCCGAAAGTTTATGCTCAGAGAACAAGTATAGCATATACAGCATATACTTTATTCTTTCCTCTATTTAATGATACCAAAATATCTTATACAAATTGTATGTTTTTTTGTCGGGAACGGATTTCGTCGAAAACTGCAATTTTTAAAAAATTATATTAATTATTATTTACAATTAAATGCTGTGAGCTGGGGAGGACTTGATAATTTTTATTTATTGACTTGATTAACCTTAATCTTCAGCAAAAAGTTCAATCTTTTCGTATTATATTAACTAATGATGGCGAAAGGTTGGAGGCTTATTTTATAGTATTTGTGAATGGACCTTATTGACCTGTAACTTCGATACAAATTTCAATCTTTTCGGAAAAACGTAGGTAAATATTTTAAAAAATTAAAAATCTAAAATTTATGAGGAAAAACATGATAAAAATGAAAATAAATTGAAAATAATAACCGAAAATGGGGGGCTGAGGAGGACATTATAGTGTGTGCGGATAGACTACATTTATGTAGAGAAAAAGTATAGTATGCAACACCTTTGAAGTTTGTAAGTCGTTCGTCTATTAAACACTCGCTCCGTTTGTGCAAAATTAACTAGTGACTCAAATGCTGTATTCCATACATGTACTATAATATACTATTGTGTAGTTGTAGTTTTTAGAAATGATATGTTAAAATTACCGCAAATTATAGAATAAAAGATCCAAATACTCAGGGAGAATAATGTGTACAATTTTATACATATACAACATTTATACATGGTTGTAGAAATATAGCCAATTCAGTAATGCAACATGTTGCAGTGCAGTGTGTCTGTTCGTAACAAGATAGGTATAAGTTTATTTTATTAAATTTTCAACATTGTGAAAGTTGTAATCGTAAACACTTTGAAGCACGAAATATTCAGTAAAGGTAAGTAAAATGTGATGAAATGTTTGTATTATGAACTAACATCCTAGCCTAGGGTGATTTTTGTTCAAGCTTGTTGCACATTCAACAACAACACATTCAAGAACAGCCAAGATATTTTATCTCATCAATAAAGTCAATAAGATAATAGGAGATAAAGCTATTTACCTAATCAGACTTTTCGTTTTTTAACTGAAGCTTATTCCAACCCAACCAATAATATCAAGTATCCGTTTCCTTATTTACTAATATATAGAACTGCTTTATGGATATATGGATACGCTTCAATCACATTACATATAATGATAATGTTAAACTTTTAAATAATTGCAAATGTTATTGGAGATTTACCAACCCATATAAAAGAGAATCTAGTTAAACGTAACTGCCCAAGTTTGGACGTAGATATATCGATGCAAACATTTTACCAGGTACGAAATTCGATATTTATTTACGTGTTTGGCAAGAACCGAACAAATTGGAATGCCCATGAAACGTACGAATAAGCACCGATAAACTTATTTGATGTCTGGAGAATTGATCCGGTTAAAATTACCGATTTTTATTCTTTCTTGGCGATTTTTATTTAAAAAAACTTATGCATTTAGTTATAATAAAACTCAAAACCCATTTTAAAAATGCCTTTAATTTATAGTGTAGATGGTAACTTGAATTCTATCTATATAGCGAGATCATTAAATTAGAGCAATATTGCCAATTTTTCAGTAAGACGACAGCGCTTTGAACTACTATCATCAACTTCGTTGTCATGCACATTCATAACTTTAAAATAGTTCTTTGTGTTCTTATCTGATTCAAGTATTGCTTGTTATATTATGAGGTTTATAAAACTACAAAAATAAAAATATTGCTTTAATATAAGATATGCAAAAAGTTTGATAAACGACACTTTAGTCACGAGTTCCTTTAATACACAAGTGTTTGAAGAATTTTGTCAATGGGTTACCGTGCAAACATATTCGCCGTGGCCGTCAGAACTGACAAACCGTAAAATATGTTTTGAGATTTGTCAGTTGTAATGATCACGTCACACGTGCCCTTTTGCAAAAATGTACAACTATCCAGGAAAATTATGGTACGCACCACGTTGATAATTAAATACTCGCTCAGCCCGTGATTTTAGTAAAATAATCTGAATTTATTCAGGTAGAATTATTGTATTTAGAGGATACTGTGCTGAGTGTTGTGTTTGTATCGCAAATGCAAGAAGGAACGGAAATAAATAAATACATTGCTAAGCTTTTTGACAAACAGGTGAATCCTAACGGGTTTAAAAAAAGGTTTGTCTCAGGCAAAGCAAAAATATGTTAAAACTACAACGGATACGTATAAAATAGATTAGAAGACTTCCTGAAACTGCGCTATTCCCACATTACGGTAACGAGAACGAGACTCCAATTTTCGACGCCTTTTGATTGAAACAACCCCAAAATATTCTAAGCTATGTAAGTATTTCATTCAGATCAACACTCCTTTATTTTAATTATGATCATTATTATTATTGGTTTGATTTAGCATTTCTTTTCAATAATTTTGAGAATGGTTTAAACAGTGGTCTAAAATGCCTTTAACATTTTAAGTGATCGTTTCAGTGTCACATAATTTACAATATTAAATTATTTAATTTAATATTTATAAATTATTCGTTTTATAGGTACAAATTGTGAAAGGTTTTTTTTTTTTGTTTTTCTACAAAATTCGTAGCTTTAGGTTTTTGACCTCTTACTTATATCAAAGACTCATGACACTTTGGGGGATCCTGTTTAATATTTTTGGTAAAACAAATGATTTTTTCAATGGTTTCAAAGTGAAAAAGTCCTCTTAATCGAAGCCGCTAAGAGCAACCACCCAAACGTCAAATAAATCTAAATTTTAGTGACATCCTATTCTACATATGCAATTTTGTATTGTCATGTAAAAAAAAGACGTAGTTAATCAGTATTAGTGAGATTATTTTTTTGTAGATCAATCTACCAAAAATCCTTTTCAAAATTGGACAAAAACAATTTGTGTTACGTGGATTGACTTAAGAAATGGGACTTAGTTTCCAGTTTTAGGACTACCTCAAGGATGTTCCGTGATTTTTCAAACTCGGAATACAGTTAAAGTAATTTTAAGGATTGAATAAATTGTGCACCTAGTTCTACGGAGTACAAAGATGGCTGAGAAACACGAACCCGAACAAAGCTGCAGCCTCCATTATTTTATCTATGGAGGGAATTCTCTGTTTGATTACTTATTTTCAGTCTTTTTGATAATAGCGGTCGAAAAATAAAACACATAAAATAAAGTTATAAATCAATTTATTGTATTCTTTTAGTCGGACTGCTCTACCTATATACAATTTGTACAATTTACACGTATTTACATACGTCGACTTACATTTGGTTCGAGTACACGTCATCACAAAATGTACAGTAAACAAAAAATAAAACCTTAAGCGGCATGAGGACCGCTACTATCACATTTCGAGAACCTTACTGCCTAAACGAAAAAAAAAATACGCGACACTCTCAAACAGACCACATTTTTCACTTGCCCATTGTCACCGGCACCCAACCGCTCTCGATTTAAAATTTAAAATAAATAAATAAATTACCTAACAACAAATTCACACCGGCGGCGGCGGCGGGAAAATAAATCGTTGTTATTAATGTGAAATTTATGTTAATACGGCACGCCGTTTCTCCCCAAAACATTTCTTTCACGCCACCACCGGAGCAGACGAGCGAGGAGAAAATTTGAATTTCAAAAAGCGCTAAACGACCGCACCCCAAACTATGTATTCGAAAATATCGACTCACATTTCGTTATCTGTTCGTAAACTCTCTGTATACGCTCGTTGAGGATCTTCACGCTCTTGTCCGGGATCGTGGGGAGTACGTCTTTGATCGCTGCACCGTTCCTTTTTTCGAACATGTCGCGCAACAACGGGCCCACGTTCCCCTTACGGCGCAGCTTTTTGATTATGTTCGCCGTAGGTCGCCTAAACACGCACAAGTTGTCCAACAGTATCGAGTGGTAGACCTCGTACTTCTTCAGCAGTCTGTAGCCGTGCAGCAGTCCCGATTCGTTATCCAGGAACACGAGCAGCTCGCTGTCCGACTTCCTCGCTAGATTATGCGCGGGCGCGTCCATTATGTTCACGTTCCATTGATAGTTGTACAAGTTGTTCACTATTCTGTCGAGATTCGCCGTCAGGTAGTCGAAAATGATGAGATCCGACCACTGAGCGAGCTCGACCAGGCTGTTAACGTCGAACATCTTGCTCTTGGTCATGTTCAGCACGTCGTACTTGTTCAAGTGCCGCTCCAGAGGTTTAAACACCGTCGGTATGTTCGCCGAGTTCAAGTTCGAGATGAACTGAGTGACGACGATCGGCCGGTTGGAGTTCCACTGAGCCGAAGCTATCTCGTTGTGCAAATTCGACCACAACGGCGAGCTCAGATCGACGACGCTGACTGCGCTGGGAGCCAGATTCGGCAACCTCAGAATCTGAGCCAAGTAGAAGCTGAAAAGCTCGCCCTGGATTTGGTCGGTGTTCTGCCTGTACCTCACGCAACCTTTGACGCCGTCCTGAAATGTCACCAGACGGTTCTGCATTCGACCGCATCCGTTTTCCAGCCGGATCGCGACGGCTGTTTTCACGTAATCGGACCACAACACGTGTTTTTGGTCCCTGTACCCATCGGGTAGGGCTGTTTCCACTTTCCGGCCCCAGTAGATGCCGTTCTCTATGACGCCGTCCTCGTCACTCGCAGCTGACCGTAGACTATCCACGAACGAGACCGTAGGATACGCACTTCTGTTATTGACGAACCCATAACTGTTGTTGATGAAAATAGTCCGTATCACAGAGGTGGCGTTCACTAAATCCAAGACACTAGTGCTATTGTCGGCACCGTAACTACTACCGTAGTACACGACGGGAATGAGGATCCCGATCGTCAGACCGACGCCGAACGCGAAAGCCGCACTGACCAGGCACGCGTTTTTGTACAAGATGATCGTTTTCGGTTTGAAATCCTGCTGCCACGACGCTTGGTGGATGCCAAAGTTCGCGTAGCCGGTCATCGTAGCTGGTGCAGCGTAGCCGCTAATTACTAGACATGTTCGGGCGTCGCGCACCGTGAATCGACCGCTTCGACTGGGCGTCTCTTATATACTAAAGCTCTCTCGGAATACGCCGAGACACTAGACTACGGGTTAACAATACCGGACCGTGGTGGGATACATAACTGACATATTTCTCGAAAGAGAGAGGAGGCGAGAGAGCGAGGGAGATACGCGGCGCTGACCGCGATAGGCTTCGGAGCGGCCGGACGGAGAGAATTGACACGAACCCAGCAAGGGTTTGTTTTGTAAGACACATTTTTTTATTTCGACGCGGCTGCGGCGGCATGCGGAGGGGACCCGCGTCGAATTCGTAGCTCGAATTGTTTCCGTAGCGGAAAACCTATCATAGGGTAAGCGAGGGCGAGGTGATTTCGTCACGTATTTTTTTTAATTACTTGTAAACTAGTTTTGTGTCTGTTTCGTATATGATGGAATGATATCCCAATCGAAATATATCACTGCTCTCAAGTACGTCCGGTACTTAACAAATCTCCTTTATTAGGGAGGATTATTATTTAATTTAATTAGTTCCTGGAAATTTCCCAAAATTTCCACAAAACCCAACAGCGGTGTTAGCTTTGCTATTGAATTCAAAACTAACCAAAACCGCTGTAAGTAGTGTTTAAATTATAGGTGTTTTATCTTTTTTTGCGGGGTTTCCGTCCTGACGGGCCATCGCAATCACTAACTAAAATTTCAAAACAAGACCTTTAAAAATCCACTGTTTTTTGGAAAAAAAAATTTTTTGAAGCTTTATTAAAATGGCTTAAATGGGTAAAGTAAAATTGAAATTCTGCGACAATTCAGGATTTTCTTACCAAATTATTAATTTCACTAGCAAATAGCAAATGCTTAGGTTATTGAAAAAGTATATGAACCTGTTATAAATTCCCACTTTAAAAAAATTTGTCGCTTCATTTAATAAACTGAACATCTCAGGTATTGTCCGTAGTACCACAATCCACTCTCAGTCACGATTACTTCATCAAACTATTTTTAAGTAATAAGCAGTAAATATAAATTATTTTCAATGTTAATTTTGCGAAATTTTAGTGGGGTATATGAGCTATTTTGTCTGTGCTGATCGACCATCGATATCTCTAAGGACTTCGCCAGTTCTGACTTCAATAATTTATGTTTTTTTATTGATCTGTGAACTATTTTCGCGTCTGTTTTGTGTATTAATGATTAGTTGATACTGATGTACTCAATATAGCTGTACAACGTTTCCAATTTTGTTTATTAATAAATATTCGTTATTAGCCAGGATACATCGATGCGATTTTCGCAATACTGACTACTTTCTCGTAAGACTTAGAACAAAATTTTTCAACTTCTTCCTTCTTATTCAGCATGTTTTGAGTTTTTTCAGGATTTACAATACTGTATTCAAATATTTAGAAAAATATGGTTATAATTACAATTTTTGCGAATATTACATTTTTTGAACAGAAACCCACGATTGGAAATATTATGTCAAATCAAATCAAGCGTTGTCAGTGATCTGGGCAAATTAGTTTTCTAATATTGTAACTATGGTTTAAAATCATTTATTTAAAAAATATGAGCAATATGATATTTTATATTGGTATGCTTTATGGGTGCCATGGAAATACAAATGCGACATACGAGCTTTGTTTGGGCAAGCGAGAATGCTGTATTTTAATAATATGAACAGTTTAATTATTATTATTAATTATTTATTAATAATAAACCATGTTGGAATGCCAATTATAGTTAAGTAATATAGGAATGCGACATTTTTAGTTGGATTCTATTTATATTGGTCACGTCTAGTGTTACTTACTTTACTTCGAGGTAATGTAAGTTATATTGCCAGAATTCTTGTAAGATAGTCCTTTGACATAATTAAATGAAATATATTTTCAACAGTATGGTGGCATTTAGTTTTTAACTTACCGCCACATAAAAAATCCTTTCATTTTAGCTGAAGTACCTCCGTTATTGTCCCGCCTTGGCATATCCTCTATCTCGGGTTATAGAAATTTACCATTTTCCTGTAAGAAAAAACGTTTTTTTATTAAGTTTCAGTCCACTGCTTATATCTCAGCGATTCCTCAAATATTTCGATGGAATCCTCATAATTTCTCCGCGATTTTCTGAAATGTTACGAAATTCCTATTAACACCCCAACATGTTTAAATATATGCATGTATTTTGTGCCCAATCTTTGGGGGTTTTCACTCTGATCGATTCAAAAACATTATTAAAAGGGAGCCCCATAAAGTAAAACTTAAATACCGTGGCATTTCAGTTTTTTCTTGCTAAATTATAAATTGAAAAAAAGGATAAGTTATTGCAAAACTTTGAAATATCCAACGTTGATGCTATTAATTATATACCTATTATACATTTAAAATTTAAAAATATATTGTTTCTTCCTTTAAAAAGTTGGTCAACTTAGGATAGAGGTTGACAAATAATTTATTATTTCTATAGAGTCACCGGCGCCAAGACTACTTCATTACTCATTTTGAGAAGATACAGACCACAAATTCCTCTGTTATTAAATATAATTATACAAAAATTTAGTGGGGCATGTTAGTTACCATGGGAATGATAGGTTCGACTGCTCGGGGTTTCTATGGTGATCGACCATCGATATCTTTTTGTTAGATATTCTGATTCACAAAATTAATTTCATTTACAAATTGGCATCAATACTGAGGGCAAAACCCCACTAAGTAACATCAAATGTCACTAATTGTAGAATTTGTATGCAGTGACGCTTGTAAATTCAGGACTATTATTCCATTGCTAGTGCTACTTATTTTTTTGGGTAAAACATTTAGCGACGGAATTCGGATAGAGTTCTCATTTAATTTTATCTATAATTTACTTGATGCATTGTAAAAAAAATCCAAAAAATCCTAAAAAAAATCCAAGGAACTCTATCGATCGATCGTGACTGCTCGAAAGGTGCATCTGGCATAATACGGATCTGTTTTGTCCCATGTTTAAGGAAAGAATATGATACACTCTTCCATTAAAAATTTAGTCGCACCACATTATAGAATATCTAGGCTCATCTAACGTCTGTGGCGAATTGTAACACCCTGTATAAGAGTTTACGATGGTGATATTGTTGGGTGCACGGGTGAACGTTTTTTCGGGTCGTTATAGAGGCAGACCGTTTATTCGCGCTCGAATGGGTGTCGCTCGAGCGATAACGCGGTTAGATAATTACTCGTCGTGCTTTTTTCTTTTCGGAAAGTAGATTAAAAAGTCATTTTTCATGTGGCGCTTTCGGCTCAGTACCGGGCGGTTTGTTTGTTTCGTCCGCGCGCGAGGCGTTCCGGGTGATCGATATCTTTGGCGGATTATTTTTATTTACAAGCAGTGTAAATAAGATTGTAACTATTCGGTTTTCCCTACAGATTATTACTTTGTCTCTTAGCAGAAATGCTCTTGGTGTGTTGTGTACATTATTAAAAAATATATGAACTGACTCAAAATTGCCTATGATGAAAATATCATTTTCCACATTAATTTGGATCAAATCTTTGGGATTTTTATCTCTGATCGGTCGTCTGTATAAAATTTCAAAGGCCTTTGAAAATACAATATTTTTTGAAACAAAATGATTACTGGAAGCTCCAAATTAAAATTTAAATTTCGCGACAATTCAGATTTTGCCAGGTCATGTTTAGTTATCAGAAAGGGATAAATTATTGCAAAAATGTTATGCACCGATCACAAATTGTCAATTAAAAAAAACGTTTTATTTTTCTCCTGACACGTTGCATACCGCAGGATTAATTTAACAATATGGTCCTATTAAACTAATATTTTACATCATTATAGAGGAAATGTAATGATCTAACATTGTAAATAGTATTAAAAAATAAAGTTAGAACCATTTTCTGTGTTATTGCAAGATCACTATTTTGGAAAAAAAAAGAAATAATTAATATTTAGAAAAACTGCACTAGAAGCATGGATATAAAGCAAAAATAAGCCAAAGAATTTTTTTTCGACCCATATAAACATACAAGTAATCAAATTTTCAAAAATTCTATTTTTTTTTCTCCATAAAAATTACCATGGTCTGGTATATCCATTAGTAATTTATTTAAATTATTACTGTGTTAGTATCTTCTAAAAGCAATGCTTCGTATTGGCTAAATTGTTGACAAATCAAATTTTTATGTCACATTTCGTTTCTTCTCGTGAGGTACGAACATGAGCGAAATAATATTTGTAAAATGTCGACGTCGCTGGCGCACCACTGTATCGGCATTTAACAATAATTAAAGTACCGTTTAGTGATTTTAATTGCATTCCTTTTTCGCAAAATAGCTTATAAATCAGCCGATTAATATGTCTTGTGGCGAAGGATTGTAGGCCATCGAATGATAAAAAGTACCACTCTCTAGTTTTGGCATCTATGGCGTTAATTTTAAACTGTGTTTTTCTTTCTAAAAAATAGTAAAAGTCTTTCAGTACCCCTAACATTACTAAAATCGATTGATTAGTTTACCATATCTATTAACATTTTTCTCAAATAAAATCCCACATTGCAGGTCTAATTTTCCAATCAACTGCACTCAGATTGAACCAAATACATTTTGTTCATGGGTTAGTTTTAGTTAGTTAAATAAGTTTTTCTGCTCGCGCAGAGTTTTATGATTATTGTTTTGGTTAGTTTGGTTTTGATTTGCGTTACTTAGCGTTACTTAGCGTAGCGTAGCGTTATCGTTAAATTAATAAAAAATATTAGAAATGAATCAGTGGTTTTTCTATAAAGAAACCTTTAAGAGCGCTCATGTGTTGAACTTGACAACTTTATTCATTTGTTCAAACTTTACAATAAAAGCTCGTAAATCCATTGACAGCCAGTAGGTTTATTGCGCCTTAATTAGAGAACAGTTTGGCATTAGTATAAGTAGAAATGAAACTCGTCTGTCATGTAAACTTTTTCTTTTTAAATACTTATAACTGTTCCCCTTATGTTTTCCTTTTCACGCATGAAAGCGCCGTAACAATGTTAAATCAGAAATATTTATTGTTAAAAAATATTATTATGTAGTAATAGC